TTATCGTTTTCTTGTTGCTGTTTCCAGCCTCATTCAAAACAAATTATATATAATCCCAACACATGTAAGAACTACATAACTTTGAATCTGAAGAAGATGACTTCATTAAAATAATTATAACAATGTGAACCTGTTTGTCATTCTCAATAGATTCTGAACTCTATAGATGTGGGGACTGTGGAACACTCTATGCCATTCCGCTTCTTTTAGCGAAGCATCTCAAGTACAAACATGGACACTATGGTATTGTCCCAAAGGCAAATGCATCAAAGGAAGACATTCTACAGTTCATCAAAGGAGAAATCAGATGTAGTAAAACAAGAATTATGCAAAACGGGAAAAAAACATATGTCTGTGATCAATGTGGTATGGCATTTAATCAAGCCGGTAATCTCACAACACATAAACGCATCCATACAGGTGAGAAGCCCTATGTATGTGATCAATGTGGTAAGGCATTTAATCAAATAAGTAATCTCACATCACATAAACTCATCCATACAGGTGAGAAACCCTATGTATGTGATCAATGTGGTAAGGGTTTTAATCAAGAAGCACATCTCACAAGACATGAACGCATCCATACAGGTGAGAAGCCCTATGTATGTGATCAATGTGGTAAGGCATTTAATCAAGCTGGTGGTCTCACAACACATAAACGCATCCATACAGGTGAGAAACCCTATGTATGTGATCAATGCGGTAAGGCATTTAATCATGAATCTAGTCTCACAACACATAGACGCATCCATACAGGTGAGAAGCCCCATGTATGTGATCAATGTGGTAAGGCATTTAATCAAGCTGGTGATCTCACAAAACATAAACGCATCCATACAGATGAGAGGCCCTATGCATGTGATCAATGTGGTAAGGCATTTAATCAAGCTGGCTATCTCACAACACATAAACGGATCCATACAGGTGAGAAGCCCTTTGCATGTGATCAATGTGATAAGGCATTTAGTCAAGAACCTCATCTCACAATACATGAACGCATCCATACAGGTGAGAAGCCCTATGTATGTTATCAATGTGGCAAGGCATTTAATCAAATAAGTAATCTCACAAAACATAAACACATCCATACAGGTGAGAAGCCCTATGAATGTGATCAGTGTGGTAAGGCATGTAATCGAGCTAGTGCTCTCAAGAAACATAAGCGCATTCATACAGGTGAGAAGCCCTATGTATGTGATCAATGTGGTAAGGCATTTAATCAAAAACATGTTCTCACAACACATAAATTAATCCATACAGGTGAGAAGCCCCATGTATGTAATCAATGTGACAAGGCATTTGGTCAAAAAAGTAACCTCACAAAGCATAAACGCAACCATACAGGTGAGAAGCCCTATGTATGTGATCAATGTGGTAAGGGTTTTAAACAAGAAGCACATCTCACAAGACATAAACACATCCATACAGGTGAGAAGCCCTATGTATGTGATCAATGTGGTAAGGCATTTGATCAAAAAAGTAACCTCACAAAACATAAACGAATCCATACAGGTGAGAAGCCTTATGTATGTGATCAATGTGGCAAGGCATTTAATCGAGCTGGCTATCTAACAAAACATAAACACATCCACACAGGTGAGAAGCCCTATGTATGTGATCAATGTGGTAAGGCATTTAATCAAGCCGGTAATCTCACAACACATAAACGCATCCATACAGGTGAGAAGCCCCATGTATGTGATCAATGTGGTAAGTCATTTAATCAAGCTGGTGATCTCACAAAACATAAACGCATCCATACAGATGAGAGGCCCTATGCATGTGATCAATGTGGTAAGGCATTTATTCAAGCTGGCTATCTCACAACACATAAACGGATCCATACAGGTGAGAAGCCCTTTGCTTGTGATCAATGTGATAAGGCATTTAGTCAAGAACCTCATCTCACAACACATAAACGCATCCATACAGGTGAGAAGCCCTATGTATGTTATCAATGTGGCAAGGCATTTAATCAAATAAGTAATCTCACAAAACATAAACACATACATACAGGTGAGAAGTCCTATAAATGTGATCAGTGTGGTAAGGCATGTAATCGTGCTAGTGCTCTCAAGAAACATAAGCACATTCATACAGGTGAGAAGCCAAATGTATGGGATCAATGTGGTAAGGCATTTAATCAAAAACATGTTCTCACAACACATAAACGAATCCATACAGGTGAGAAGCCCCATGTATGTAATCAATGTGACAAGGCATTTGATCAAAAAATTAACCTCACAAAGCATAAACGCAACTATACAGGTGAGAAGCCCTATGTATGTGATCAATGCGGTAAAGCATTTAATCAAAAACATGTTCTCACAACACATAAACGAATCCATACAGGTGAGAAGCCCTATGTGTGTGATCAATGTGGTAAGGGTTTTAATCAAGAAGCACATCTCACAAGACATAAACACATCCATACAGGTGAGAAGCCCTATGTATGTGATCAATGTGGTAAGGCATTTGATCAAAAAAGTAACCTCACAAAACATAAACACGTCCACACAGTTGAGAAGCCCTATGTATGTGATCAATGTGGTAAGGCATTTAATCAAGCCGGTAATCTCACAACACATAAACGCATCCATACAGGTGAGAACCCCTATGTATGTGATCAATGTGGTAAGGCATTTAATCAAAAACATGTTCTCACAAGACATAAACGCATCCATACAGGTGAGAAGCCCTATGTATGTGATCAATGTGGAAAGGCATTTGCTCAAAAAAGTAATCTCACAACACATAAACGCATCCATACAGGTGAGAACCCCTATGTATGTGATCAATGTGGTAAGGCATTTAATCAAACTGGTGATCTCACAAAACATGAACGCATCCATACAGGTGAGAAGCCCTATGTATGTGATCAATGTGGTAGGGCATTTAATCAAGCTGGCTATCTCACAAAACATAAACGCATCCATACAGGTGAGAAGCCCCATGTTTGTTATCAATGTGGTAAGGCATTCAATCAAATAAATAATCTCACAAGACATAAACGCATCCATACAGGTTAGAAACCCTATGTTTGTGATCAGTGTGGTAAGGCATTTAATCAAGCTAGCGATCTCAAGAAACATAAGTGCATTCATACAGGTGAGAAGCCCTATGTATGTGGTAGGGCATGTAATCAAGCTAGTGATCTCAAGAAGTATTAACGAATCCATGCAGGTGAGAAGCCACTTAGTTTTCTCTTGTATCAGTTTTATGCTTGTTTTCCTCTTATAGCAGTTTTATGCTTGTTTTTCTCTTGTAGCAGTTGTATGTTTTTTTTGCTCTTGTAGACGTTTGACGCTTGATCTCCTCTTGTAGCGTTTTTACGTTTGGGTTTTTATCGTTGAGCAGTTTTAAGTTTGTTTTTTTTTTGTAGTAGTTTAACGATTTTATATTTTCTTGTAGCAGTTTTACGTTTGGTTTTCTCTAGTAGCAGTTTTTCTGTTTTTTAGGTATGTAGATCCAGCTATAATGGAAATTGATCAGTTTTTCATGATTGCTGTTCAATCAAATGAGAATTAAGAAGAATAATTTCTATGTACATGTACATCTGCAAGTAACTATTAATCGACCTTTATTACTTGAGATGAATATAGTCTTTAAACCCTCCGAATATATAGGACAGTATTGCTTACGTTTTAATTCTTGCTATTTGGCAATACTATGCTACTGATTCAAACTAAATATTTTGAGGCTACAGTCAATCAGTCTCATAGCGTATTGATGGAGATAGTTTTGACATGCTAGTTCAAAGGTCAATTCACGGAGCTACAAATAGTTACCTCCCACATACAATTTCCATGGTCAGGAACTATTACATTGCGCTGGGATTTGAATGATTGCTATGATTTCCGGTGAGGTAACTATGTTTACTCTCCAGCTATGACCTGCCCAAAACAGTGCAAACTATACAAAAAGGATCATTATTATTTAGAATAATTTGAGGTAGTCCCTTCAACAAACAGGACCAAGTGTTAACAAGGATAACTGAAAGCCCCATTGTCCTACTTGTAGCTACTTGCTCCCTCTATATAGAAAACTTCCCCAATCGGTGCCTGTTGGTGCTCCATGATCCTCTTTTTCTTATTTCTTATGTTAGTTAAGAGCCGTGTTAATGAGATAGCCACCTATCAGTGACCTGGCTGGGTGGTGTGCCTGCCCGGACTACGACGACAAACAAACGAAAGCTCGCACGTGTTCTCATACTGGGTAAACAATAGTCAAAACAGCTTTATTGAATCTAGTCTCTTCATCATGGTCAAAGCTGACTCTTTGGCTTGCTGATTCACTTTGTTCCTTAGATTCCCGTAAAAACACTGTGCCACTTGTTACCAAAGTCTCAGGCAGGCATAAATAATATGCTGATTAACGATGCAATTCCTTTTCCATCGCCATAACGTGCCCCAGTTTTGGGCCAAAAATTACAATCTTCGCAGACGATAAAATTATGGAATGCCAAATAGACAATTACAACCGCACGGTGTATGAAATGCCTTTAGACTCCCACCAAAATTGCCTTCACTGGTAACATAATCACATGCATGAGTACACTTACATATATATGAAAATGCATTTACTAGTATTACATAAGTGGTGCATGTGAAATAATGTGACCATAATATGGAAATTTTTAAGCAAGCACTCCATACACCTCTTGCATGTAAATTGGTACACTTGCAATCTACAACACGAATAACATGGCAATTGAATAGCTTGATCAAACCAGAATAGCATAAGTGATGATGCGGAACTCAAACAATGCACGTTTATAACATGTGCTGTAAAAGATTATAACACACACTGCAAAAGTTGTAAGGCAAGCTTAAAGGTTGCGACAATATTTAAGCGCTGTGTATCTAAAATTCGCAGCAAACAAGATCAGAATTTGAGTCCTAAATTTTTAAACTGTACCAGAAAACGAAGTACATGTGCAAATGCAAGGTCAAACATTTGTACCCGCTCCAAACAATCTCAAGTGTACATACATACCTGCTCTATGGAGGTACCTTTTCCAGAAGCAGTACGAGCTGAACCGGCCTCCAGTATTCGGCAAGCTTCTTGTTTGGACGACCTTTGTTGTCAAGGTCTTTCGTTCCAACGCGCACCTGTACCCGTCTGACCAGACCATCTTCATCAGGAGTGGCTTCTGCGACCATCGCAATTGGCCATTTCATACGCGGAGCTTCATCGTCATTGAGCAATACAATGTCTCCCACTTGTAAATTCCGTCTGGGCATCGTCCATTTCTGTCGTCTTTGAAGTCCCAACAAGTACTCTCTCCGCCATCTTGACCAGAACTGTTCTAGTAAGAACTGAACCCTTCTCCAGGCTTTACGCGTGTACACATCCTCCTTCACAAATTGCCTAGGAGGGGGCAACGGAACCGTCCTCTTCAGAGTAAGGAGGTGGTTTGGCGTGAGAGGTGCATCCGCACTTGGGTCATTCATATTGGTCACTGTTAACGGTCGGCTATTGACGATTGCCATGGCTTCGTAAAACAAGGTACGAAGAGCGGAGTCTGTGAGTCTTCCTGGACACAGGTCTATGGTAGCCCTTAAGACACTTCTGACGGTTCGAATCTGTCTTTCCCACACGCCACCTGCGTGACTTGAGTGAGGGGCGTTGAAGACAAATTCACATTGCTGGTCTGCAAGGTACGTATTCACTTGGTCTGAAGTCATCTCTCTCAATGCAGATTGGAGCTCGTTTCTTGCTCCTACGAAGTTACTGCCTTGGTCGCACCTAATCTGTCGGACAGCTCCCCTAATTGCTATGAAACAGCGGAGAGCATTGATGAATACGTCGGTAGTCATGTCGTCGAGCATCTCAATGTGGATACCTCTTGAACAGAGACATGTGAATATAAGCCCATATCGCTTAATATCAGAACGACCTCTCCTTACAAAGAAAGGACCGAAACAATCCATACCCACATTCGTGAAAGGAGCCGAAGGTTCTACTCGATCTCTTGGCAAGTTTGCCATTTTCTGCTCTTCTTGAGGCCTACGAAGACGTCTGCATGACACACACTTTCGCAATACCTCTGCAACGACTTTAGATCCGTTTACAATCCAGAATCCATTGGCTCTCAGGTGATTCTGCGTCATTCCTCGACCCTGATGTTTGATGTCCTCATGGAAGTGGCGGATAATCGCCCGAGTGATAGGGCTACGCTTGGGCAGGATAACAGGGTGAGCCACTTCTGTCGATAGTTCGCCAAGTCTGCCCTTCACTCGCATGATCCCATCAAGGATTATTGGGTCAAGGTCATGGATGGTACTTGTCGTTTTAACGGTCTTGTCCGACGTCAGAGCCTTGATTTCTTCAGGGTAAGCTTCCTGTTGAACTAACCGCAGAATGAACAGCTCTGCGTCCTTTCTCTCACGAACTAAGGAACCTTGTCTTGCTCCCTTCACTACCATCCGTAGACGAGCCAATACCTTGATCATCATCTTCCAACTAGAGATCCTGGTAAGGCGCGAGAGGAGGTTCAACGGTTCCGAATGAGTAGTTGTTGATAGGTTGGTTGCTCTCACTTCCGGATCCCCAACGGCGAGTGTCGGAGAGATACTTCCTACTGCAAAGTCTTTCTCCCAGAGGAAGCTTGGTCCTTGGAACCAATTTGTGCTACCCAGCTGACTTACGCTCAATCCTCTGGAAGCATGGTCAGCAGGGTTCTGATCAGTCGAGACATAATGCCATTGGTCGGGAGAAGTCCTATCTCTGATTAGCTGGACTCGATTAGCAACAAACGTGTGGAACCTCCGCGCATCATTGTGGATGTATCCCAGGACTACTTGGGAATCTGTCCAGAAGAAATCTTCGGCATCATGATACTCTAGCTCTTCTTTCAACATAGAGTGCACCTTAGCTGACACAACTGCCGCTGTCAACTCTAACCTGGGAATTGTAACCACCTTGGTTGGCGCAACCCTTGATTTGCCGAAGATCAGACAACAGTGAACTTCTCCTTTCTGGTTAACAAGACGCAAATAAGAGCATTGGCCATAACCAGACTTGCTGGCATCCGAGAAATGGTGTAGCTGCACTGTTACAGGATCACCAAACTCAGCAGGATGATAACACCGAGGTATTCTTAGCTCCTCTAGCTGCGGGATTTCCTTACACCATTGCTCCCACCTTGATTGCAGGTTCTCGGGTACTGGATCATCCCACCCAAGCCCGCTACGACACATTTCTTGAAGGATTCTCTTGCCATCGAGAACGACCGGAGCCACAAATCCGAGAGGGTCATGAAGGGATGCGACTATGGACAGAATTCCCCGCCGTGTCATTGGTTTCTCTTTCAGGGAAATTCTGAAACAAAAGGCATCCGTGGCCACATTCCAAACTATCCCCAGAGCACGCTCTACTTGATCCTCAAAATCCAAGTTTGAGTCAGTGACATCACTGGCACGCTCAGACTTTGGCAGACTCTCCAGAACTGCCTTAGAATTCGAAACAAACTTGTGGAGACGTAAGCCACCCTTGCTGCAAAGTTGTCTGGCTTCATTGGCCAACTGAATGGCTTCCTCTTCACTGGATACACTCACCAGCCCATCATCCACATAGAAGCTGCGCTCGACGAAACGAGATGCCAATGGAAATTCATTGCTGCAATGTCTAGCCAGATACTTTAAGCCATAATTGGCGCAACCTGGCGAAGAAGCGGCACCAAAAAGATGGACGTTCATGCGATAATCCACTGGCTCCTTGTTGATGTCGTTATCTTGGAACCACAGGAAGCGCAGGAGGTCTCGGTCATCCTCAGCGACCCTAAACTGAAAGAACATCTTCTCAACATCACATAGCACTGCTACATTGTGCTTCCTGAACCGACAAAGGACTCCCACCAATGAGTTTATCATGTCCGGTCCCTTGAGCAGATGATCGTTAAGGCAGGTGCCGCCGTACTTCGCGGAACAATCAAACACTATTCTCATCTTCTTCTTCATTGGATGATACACACCATGATGTGGTATGTAATTTGTTTCTCCAGGCGGCGCCTTGGTCTCTACTTGTTCTGCAAAGCCACCATTTATGATATCTGTCATGAAGCTTGTATAGTTTCTATATGCTTCGTCCTTCTTAAGCTTTCGATGGAGGTGTTCGAATCGAACGGTTGCCAACCTTTTGTTGCTTGGAAGGTTTGGCCGGGTCTTGAAGGGCAGCGGCATCTGCAAATGACCATCCTCGCATTGTACAATGTTGGTCTCAAGGTGTTTCAAGAATTGTAGGTCATTCTGAGAGCATGCTTTGTCCGGCGATTTGTCCTCTGCGAAATCTGCCTCAAGCAACCCTATGATCTCCTTTGGCTTCGGAAATGGTATCTCGCGAGTAGAAACCCTCCCACACTGGCTACTGAAGTCCATGGCATTCTCTTCTTCGGCAAAGCCAACAATACTCCAGCCGAGGTCAGTTCGAATAGCAAATGGTTCTACATCGCTACCAGTAACTACTTGTCTTGGTGTCAGAGCTCTTGGGCAATTATAGCCTATCAGTAGGCCGACTTCGCATCTCTGAAGTGCTGGCATCTCTCTTGCAACATCTTGGAGATGAGTCCACTTCTCAGCAGTACTTCTGCTTGGGATGTGTTCTCTATCAGTCGGTATGAAGTCACGCGTATAGCATTTTCCTATCTTGAGCTGGGAGGGCGACATCATACCTCTAACTAAGATACTTGAGGTCACGCTGCAATCAATGTTCGATGACGAAGTCATAGTAGATAACTTTAAGCGTATGGGTTGCTGCTTAGCATTCAGGGCTTGCGCTACTTCATCTAGAATGAACGATGAATCACTCTGGGTATCCAGGAGGGCGTAAGTCAGAATCTCTGACGATGGTGCTTGTTCTGCCGCGACCCACACTGGTACAATCATCGAAGTGCTAGCTTGTTTTCCAGAACGGACTTGGCAAGACGTAGCCCTGTCCTTAGAAGCTCCTTCACTCTTGTGCGCATTGTCCTCTCTTATCATAGGGTTTTCCTCATGAAGAGCCGTGGGATGGCGCTTACCACATGTACTACACTTCAGCCTTTGTTTACATGCCTTAGAAAAATGCCCCTTCTGTAAGCAACCAAAGCATACATGATTTTCTTGAACAAACTTCCTGCGTTCAGAAAGTGGCTTGGCCAAAAACTTGTCACAGTCCTCGGACTTGTGTCCAGTTTCACTACACAGGCAGCAAGGTTTTGGAGCCTTCTTGACTTGGTTTGGGATGTTCTTGCCTTTGGCACTTTCCTTGGTGTTGACAGCCAAAGCAGATCCTTTATTTCTTGCTTCTCGCTTGATCTTGAAGGTCTTGGGACTTGATTCTCTTTGAGAGTCCTCAGATTTCAGGGCACCTAGAGAAGAAATGGGATTGTTGGCTATCCTTGCCTCCTTAGCAACAAATTTCACAAACTTAGAAAATGAAGGATAGCTGCCGCCTTCCAACTCATTTGATACCACCCTATTCCAGCTACTAATCAGCCAGTCTGGAAGTTTGGCTATCATCTTTTGATTCTCATAGCAGTCGTTTAGCACCTGGAGGCCAGTGACATATGGCATAGCATCATCACAAGACTTTAAGTAGTCCGCAAACTTCTGAAGACCTATGGCATCTTTGGAGGATATCTTCGGCCAAGCACTTAGCTTCTTCCGGAACGCTTGTTGGATATTAAAAGGATGACCATACCTCTGTCGAAGGCACCTCCATGCCCCATCATATGCCTCTTTGGAGTCCCCGAAAAAGGAACCTTCCACGGCCTCCCTTGCCGGACCAGTCAGGTACTGCTTCAGATAATACAGCATCTCTGTTGGTGGTATGCCACGGTTTTCGATCAAAGTCTTGAAACCTTTGTCGAACTCTACAAACTCGAGCGGATCCCCACTAAAGGTGCGTGGCACTGGCATCGGAAGTCTTGTGTGGTACATGTTGTCTGCTAAAGCCTTACATAAGCCCTGGACGTCAACCGACGTTGTCTGAGGCGGCTGTAGTGGTGTCTTGTCACGAGGTTCCACATGCGAATCAGGTAGACTATCATGTAGCTGGCCTGCTCTAAACTCTGGGCCCATCTCATCTTGAGGGGAAGGAGATGACGTCTTGGCAGGAGGTTCTGCTGCCTGCTCTTGAATACCTTCAGGTGGTTGGTTTACTCCAACTCCTGGGTACATTTTGTCTTGAGGAAGAAGTGATGGTGTGTTACGAGATTCTACAGGCTGTCCAGGATTGCTATCAATGTCAATTACTGGTGTGGCTCCACGCAGTTGGCTGGTTTCAACCCCTTGGTCCATTTCGCTTAAAATTGAGCTGAAGACCGATGAAGCATATGCTTGTTTCAAGAATTCTTTCGCTATCTGCTTCCGATCCTCGGCGTCAAAAGGACCTTCTAGGGATCCCAGAACTTCTTTCAAGGCGTTGAGGCTATCTCTGACCATTGCGTTGGCACGGTCCATCCTCGTGGTGGCCTCTCTTATGGGGACCTTGTGTCTCCTCAAAATCTCGTAGGTTTCCATCAATTCCCTCTCTCCAGCTTCCAGTATGGATATCTGTTGTTTGATGGGACCTTCTTCTGTCTCTGTCTTAATGATTGTTCTAGCTGCCTTTACTGTGGCCTTAAGGGAGCCATACATCTTGAAAAACTTCCGCTCTGTCTTTGATTCTTCAGAGGCCTGAAGAGCGGCCATTTTTTCCGTGGGCTGCCTCTCCCTTGATGACTTTCTTGAATCTGCCATGTTTAATTGGCTTTGACACAACAGAAGTGTAATAAGGAGCTGGCCTCTTATGCTAAACCATGCACTTGCACCTTGTACAGCAAATTGACCAAATTAAATTGTCATGCAACTAGAGTGAAATCAAACATCAATTTAAGCAAAGCTACAGCGCTAAGCCTACCAACCTCATCAATGTAAAACCGCTTAAAATGCTTCTTGCTAATGCAATTACAAATACTCCATAGTAATTTGATTTTACATCTCCCAATAAAGCCTTTACGCACGCCTCAAAATTCGCTTATCAAAAGGGCTTGAATGCAGACCACGCGATCATGCGATAAAGTTCAACATCGCCACATATTCCTTCCTTGCTTGACTCTGAACTGCGATGTCAATATCACTTTGTAATGAAATTACACCTTTAACTTTCTTGTCACTTGAGCACAAAACTAATGCTGGCTACCTGCAAACAAAACATGCAGTATTTGCAGAATCATATTGGAAACACTTTTCAATAGACTACTATACATGAAATAGTTATTAAAATTCAACTTTTACTTGACCTCTGTTAATTTGTTATCAAGAGTCTTGAAGTTTCACAGAGCCTATTATAGCTCTGGTTCTAACTACTTTTATTTCATCAAGTTCAGATCCATTGTTTCATTTATAAATTCAATGTTGTTGGCTTGATTTATGCTTCAAGTTCAAACCTGGCTGGACCTGGACTGTACAAGACTAAACCACGCTGGCTCCCGGGCTGTATGGCTTGACCGGGCCGATTCCCGGGCTGTTGTTCAAGCTGGACTTCAGCTGGATTAGGCTAGTTCATAAATTATGCTAGGGCTGCTACGAGAGGCTGACACAGAATAGTCTTGAACTTGGGCTTGGCTGATCCGCTAACATCTACACTGGGCTTTAGTCCTGTTACATTATGGCTGCATGCCAACTGCTGGTGCAAATTATGGTAAAGCCACGTATTTTATAACAGTGTATAATAACGATTGTGGCCGATTCCAGCTTAGCGTCCATAATACACCTCAATAATAAATCGATGACACTGCTGCATTGCAACCATAATTCATTGTAACTGTAACATTAGTGTAGATCAAACTGCATAGCGTCCATACACAGCTCTACATACCTCGAACTATTGAGACATATGAGAAATGACTGGATCACAACATCGTTTCACAATCCAAATCAAAATCCATCAACATCCACTCAGATTCTGAGATTCATGCGTTATGGTGCAATTCTAGCTGATCTCTAGCATATATCCTGTGCTCGTCGCCAAACGTAGTTACATATGTATGTTCGTAGGTTCATCCAGCTGAAATGTCATGTTGAACTCAACTCAAATGTCTAGCGTCTATTTATTGGCTCCATCTTGATAATCAGGCTTGTTGATGATGATGAGGCCATTTTGACGCTACGTTGGAAGTGTTTTTACTGTGCCTGCCCGGACTACGACGACAAACAAACGAAAGCTCGCACGTGTTCTCATACTGGGTAAACAATAGTCAAAACAGCTTTATTGAATCTAGTCTCTTCATCATGGTCAAAGCTGACTCTTTGGCTTGCTGATTCACTTTGTTCCTTAGATTCCCGTAAAAACACTGTGCCACTTGTTACCAAAGTCTCAGGCAGGCATAAATAATATGCCGATTAACGATGCAATTCCTTTTCCATCGCCATAACGTGCCCCAGTTTTGGGCCAAAAATTACAATCTTCGCAGACGATAAAATTATGGAATGCCAAATAGACAATTACAACCGCACGGTGTATGAAGTGCCTTTACAGGTGGTCTAATCCCTTCTGGCCCTGTAGTATTGACAGTCTTTAAAGCAGTCTAGAAAACATCCAAGGTCTTACATTGCACTTACATTGCAATTACATGCCTCTTCATGCATTTTCATTTAGATTTTTAGTCGTTAAAGGTTCTATTTCATTGTTGAAATTAGTAAAATGGTCCAGACCAACTTTTAAGAAGCAAGATTATAGGTTTTGGGAAATTTCATGAAATTTCTTTTTAACTCGCATAGTTATAATCATATGATTTTATGTATTTTCTAATATCTAGAGTTTTTGTCTTGTAAATATGAATATAATTTATAATGCATGTATTCAGTATTGTTGAACAAATATTGTAATTAATGTTTCTCTTACTAATCGTCGAACAAGTTTTTTAATTTTTTTTTCCTTGAAAAAAAAAGGTGTCCACTTGAAATTGAAATACCGCAGAGAAAAATGATGTAAAAGAAATCTAATCGGTATATTTCAAGTTTGAATTGTTGTTTGAATGTTGGGTGTGGGTTATTGCGATGTTGTACTAATGGACAGAAATAATGTTTGTTATAACATAGTTTTATGTGATGTTTTTGTAGACAACTTTTATTAAATTTGATGAACAATTTTTCCGTATATTTGCTGGTATTGACAATGTCATTGGAAAAAAGAAGGCTCGAATAGTTATAATAATACGTTCGCAAAAATGAAAAAGGTAAAAGCGACATAGTAGAAGGAGGGAGAGACACGCACACATGAGTATAAAGGGAGAAGGAGAGGGAAGGAGGGAGAGAGACACGCACACATGAGTAGGAAGGGAGAAGGAAGGAGAGAGACACACACATGAGTAGGAAGGGAAAAGGAAGGGAGAAGGAGGGAGAGAGACACATGAGTAGGAAGGGAGAAGGAAGGAGAGAGACACACACATGAGTAGGAAGGGAGAAGGAAGGGAGAAGGAGGGAGAGAGACACACACACATGAGTAGGGAGGGAGAAGGAGGGAGAGAGACACGCACACATGGGTAGGAAGGGAGAAGGAGGGAGAGAGACACGCACACATGGGTAGGAAGGGAGAAGGAAGGAGAGAGACACACACACATGAGTAGGAAGGGAGAAGGAGGGAGGGAGACACCCACACATGGGTAGGAAGGGAGAAGGAGGGAGAGAGACACCCACACATGAGTAGGAAGGGAGAAGGAAGGAGAGAGACACCCACACATGAGTAGGAAGGGAGAAGGAGGGAGGGAGACACCCACACATGAGTAGGAAGGGAGAAGGAAGGAGAGAGACACCCACACATGGGTAGGAAGGAGGGAGGGAGACACCCACACATGAGTAGGAAGGGAGAAGGAGGGAGAGAGACACCCACACATGAGTAGGAAGGGAGAAGGAGGGAGAGAGACACACACACATGAGTAGGAAAGGAGAAGGAGGGAGAGAGACACGCACACATGGGTATAGGAAGGGAGAAGGAGGGAGAGAGACACACACACATGAGTAGGAAGGGAGAAGGAGGGAGAGAGACACGCACACATGGGTAGGAAGGGAGAAGGAAGGAGAGAGACACACATGAGAAGGAAGGGAGAAGGAGGGAGGGAGACACCCACACATGAGTAGGAAGGGAGAAGGAGGGAGAGAGACACGCACACATGGGTAGGAAGGGAGAAGGAAGGAGAGAGACACACACACATGAGAAGGAAGGGAGAAGGAGGGAGGGAGACACCCACACATGAGTAGGAAGGGAGAAGGAGGGAGAGAGACACACACACATGAGTAGGAAGGGAGAAGGAGGGAGAGAGACACGCATACATGGGTAGGAAGGGAGAAGGAGGGAGAGAGACACGCACACATGGGTAGGAAGGGAGAAGGAGGGAGAGAGACACACACACATGAGTAGGAAGGGAGAAGGAGGGAGAGAGACACGCACACATGGGTAGGAAGGGAGAAGGAGGGAGAGAGACACACACACATGAGTAGGAAGGGAGAAGGAGGGAGAGAGACACACACACATGAGAAGGAAGGGAGAAGGAGGGAGGGAGACACCCACACATGAGTAGGAAGGGAGAAGGAGGGAGAGAGACACGCACACATGGGTAGGAAGGGAGAAAGAGGGAGAGAGACACCCACACATGAGTAGGAAGGGAGAAGGAGGGAGAGAGACACACACACATGAGTAGGAAGGGAGAAGGAGGGAGAGAGACACCCACACATGAGTAGGAAGGGAGAAGGAGGGAGAGAGACCCCGACACATGAGTAGGAAGGGAGAAGGAGGGAGAGAGACACGCACACATGGGTAGGAAGGGAGAAGGAAGGAGAGAGACACACACACATGAGTAGGAAGGGAGAAGGAGGGAGAGAGACACGCACACATGGGTAGGAAGGGAGAAGGAGGGAGAGAGACACCCACACATGAGTTGGAATTAGGGAGAAGGAGGGAGAGAGACACACACACATGAGTAGGAAGGGAGAAGGAGGGAGAGAGACACCCACACATGAGTAGGAAAGGAGAAGGAGGGAGACACCCACACATGAGTAGGAAGGGAGAAGGAGGGAGAGAGACACGCACACATGGGTAGGAAGGGAGAAGGAGGGAGGGAGACACCCACACATGGGTAGGAAGGGAGAAGAAGGGAGAGAGACACCCACACATGAGTAGGAAGGGAGAAGGAGGGAGAGAGACACACACACATGAGTAGGAAGGGAGAAGGAGGGAGAGAGACACGTACACATGCGTAGGAAGGGAGAAGGAGGGAGAGAGACACGTACACATGCGTAGGAAGGGAGAAGGAGGGAGAGAGAGACACCCACACATGAGTAGGAAGGGAGAAGGAGGGAGAGACACCCACACATGAGCGGGGATCGAGGGAGAGGGAGGGACGGAGGGAGGGAGAGAGAGAGATACCCACACATGGGTAGGAACGGAGAGGGAGGGAGAGAGACACTTACACATGGGTCGGAAGGGAGAAGGAGGGAGAGAGAGACACCCACACATGAGTAGGAAGGGAGATCGAAGGAGGAAGAGAGACACCCACACATGAGCGGGGATCGAGGGAGAGGGAGGGACGTAGGGAGGGAGAGAGAGAGATACCCACACATGAGTAGGAAGGGAGAGGTGTTTATCTCATCAAATCAGCTCTCAGTTAGCCTATAATCTAGGCGGAGTGCCGAGCTTTTTTCTTTGCTGCTAGACTAACCCTAAGCAGAACGTCTGATACGGCGAGACTACGAACCGTGAG